GTGAGTGAGTCGAACGTCCTCTCGAGAGATTGCTGGTAGGAAAAAAGGGGTTGGAGACCCTAGGATCCGTCCCTCGGGGTGCTCTCCATCAAAACTGGGGGGGGTGGAACTGAGCTAAATTGCACTGTCACATGAAAGGTGCTCAAGGCTGTTGGCAATGACAGGCATAAACGTGCGCTCTTTGCCAAGAGGAATTTCGTAGGCTTGGGCAAAGGAGCATTAGGCAAAGGAGCATTAGCAACAACAACACTAATATTAAAAACAAACCACTGCCATAATTGTGTCTAAATTGAAAGCAATTGAGTGAAAAAGTGATATAATTTGAGTTTATGAGAAATTGACACTTCCAGTCATCACAGTTGATTCCACAGTTTTATTCTATAAATACTTTAGCAGTTAATGTTCGATGCATTAAAAGTTATCCAAATTTCTTTCTGATACTTTAGTCAATTAATATGTACGTTTTATCATAGACTAGTAAATAACAATTTGTCGGGAAATTAATACGGGTGAGAGGAACATTCAAGCAACATATGTTATTATATTAGAAAGAAGTTCATAGAAGGATGCACTTCAAATTTGAAAAAGAATTGCTAAAATGTTCAGAATTGCACCGAAAACTGAACGCATGAAAAAAAGATTGTATATAGATAAAAATAAAAATAAAAAAAAGAATTCAAAAAATTTTTTAAATATTTATATAAATTATATTTATATCTTACTTACTTTACTTAAATAAAATTACATTATTATTTGTACATCTTGGTTAGTGACTATGTAATTGTACTTTTATTCCAAATGAATGAACGTTAGAATGTAATAATTGCAAATAAAATAAAATATTTTAGCAGCAGACAGCACCAGAATGTACAAAGCATTTTTATTTGCTGATATTAATTAATAAATAATGCTGAAAATAAATTATTGTTTGCAATTTAATAGTAGGATTTTTAACACACGAGCGCGCTGTAGGTAGTGTTCGTTACTACTTCAACTAATGAATGTTTTTAAAATGATAAAGTATTTTTATTCCAAATAGCGTCAGACCTATAGAGCTGCTATTCTTCAAAAGCTCTTTCTTTGTGAGTTGAATTAGGAGGTATAATACGATGTCCCAATTTTTGGACTATGAAGACGAAATGAACGTTTGAACGTACTTAATACGTTACGTTACGTACTTACGTTAAGAATTGCAATGTATTGAGAATTAAGTATTGACTAAGTCAGGATATTTTGACAGATTATATCGTGATAATTATTATTCAGATTCTGAAAATGGATTCAGTTGGGTAGCAATTAGGAAATAAGGAGTTTTATGCGTAAAAAGACGGAAAAAAACCTATGTGGCTGAATAATAAAATTTAGTGTAATTAATGAATTTAAATAAACCGTTTTTACTGAAATAACTCCCAAATTAAAAAAAAAAATAACGAAATATGATAGATCCTGCAAAGAGCACAGTCTGTTCATATCAGTCGCCGAAAACAATCCTAGAGAAATTAGTTCAGTGGGAAAACATTTATAGTATTGGACTGAAAAAATTTGATTAATATTATCGATGTAAATGTTGATAAATTGTGAGCGAAATACTAAACACACCACGGAAAACCAAGCAAAGACTTCCTTGATTTACTTCGCTTTACACTAGGACTTGTAGCATTACTTGCTGCATTAACGTACTTCACTTACAATGCACTGAAGCCCACCAGCGGCAGCGAGGTAAAAATCTCTGAACATTGGTAGTTTCGACCTGGGATCGATTTCCATGGGAGTTTTCGTGGTTAGTAATATTTCTCCTTCTTTTCACAAATACGAGATAATACATAAATACTACAGCTGTGTTATTAAAAAACTATATATTCTAAAATTTTGCTATAAATTAATAATCAAAGCTTCTACTCTAATTTTTCAAAAGAAAATCAAGAGGGTGGTTTTGTGAGTACATAAGTGACATTATATTAAATCAACAAGTATTATTCATTCATAAGTGAACATTTAATTGACCTGAAAATTGTCTCTGGTTTGGATATGAGCAGAAATCACTATGTGCGGAGGCAAGCGTAATTCCTTTAGCTCGTGTTCATGTTTCTTAACGCACCGCACATGCTTGCGGGTTAATTTATTAAAATATTTAAATTTAAAATCATAAATATTTGATTTGCTTTTACAAAGGAATACAGAGTAACAGGAATTCTTGAAGTGTTAGATGACACTGCGATGAGTGGAATTTACAGCAAATAAAACCAGTAAGCAGATAGCATATAAGCGAATCCCTGTCCTTCTGAAGCTGCCCCAGACATGGCTTGCTGATGTCCGAAGCTCAGGGCTTCACTTCTTTTACAAGCTTATCTCAACAGGAGAACCTTCATTTTTTTGGACTTTTATATACGTCAAGACCCTAAGGGGGCTCATTCAGGAATCTGGAAAGGGCAGGAGTAATGCATCTCCCACTGTATGCCAGAATAGCCAACAGATTATCAAAGTATTTTATAAGCAAAGAGTAAATAAATCGATAAAAAAATTCAAACTCTTTAAAATGACAAAGGAAGCAAAACATATCGGATATTATTAGTTGTACGAGTTTGTTAGAGTCAGCACTGGAATCCTAGAAAGAAGAAACATTCGATAAATATATGGGGAGTTGAGTTGACCATTTTGTAGTTGGTTTCGAAAACTCAGGAATGGAGACAAAAGTTGCAAATATCAAACAAGTCTGGGATTCCACTCGATGGTTTCTGAGCAGATTCTGGACCAAGTCAAATTGAATACCTCCCATACAACTACTGAGAAATTGAGAAATTAGCGAAAGAAATATTCACACTCTGAACGATAGTTTAAAGACGAATGAATGCGTTCGAGTTCATCAAAATGTTCGAAGAGTGTGTTCTATATAAGCTTTCTGAAAAGCAAGTACAGGTGAGAGCCAGTATCGGGCTTTCTTTACTTTCTGGCTCCGGAAATAGACAAAATTTTAATTAATTGTGATGGTTGAAGAAAAATGGATAATCTAAAGTAGTGTGAAATGCAGAAGGCTGTGTCGCATAGAAGAATCTTCTATTTGAACATCAAAACAAATGCATCCCAAAAGGTTTTATTAAGTGTATGGGGAAAAGTGAAAATAATGGTGAGCTGAGATTAACTCCCACGCAACCAAACTGTTAATGTAGACATTTTACTGCCAACAATTGGGCAAACTGAGGCAAAAACGGATACATAAGCGGCTAGAACTTGTCGCTCGTCAAGGTGTTATATTTCTGCATGAAAACTCATGCCTCTTTAGTAATTAGAAAAAAAGTCATTTTGGTCAGCAAATTTTACCTTATCCTCTAACTTTGCTGATTGTCATCTTTTTCGAATGGTGGACTCCCAACTTTTCCGATCTCATTGGTGAATATGTTTGGGGGAGGAACCTATATTTATCTTTTCGTAAAACTCAACAATGCCTTTGTATGCTGAGAGAATTATAAAGAAAAATATTGCTTTCATAAGTACAGATAAGCTTCTAGGAGCTCGTGCAAGACTTCTCTATTTAAATATAACAAGATCTCGACATCAGAGTTTCTTGGAATCCAAAATAGTTCTCAAAACCTTTTTTCCTGAATTAAATTACAAAAATGTTAGCTAAGCTTATACAAAAGAGAGAAAGGAAATTCAAGAGCATACCATGTTATTATTCAATGACATTTACTAAATCAAATGGTTTACTTTACATAGTCTAGACGACTATGAGGAAATGCAATATGGTACAAATGGTCCTTATAGTTTGTGACTGGATCAAGAATAAACAACTTACACAATAAGTACTGAAAAAGATAAATTATTTGGCTTGTGCTCAGTTTTCTCTCTTAAATACATAATAAGTACTGAAAAAAATTAATTGTTTAGTTTGGGCTCTGTTTTTGCTGGAAGGGTATTGCTTTACTTCAGTGGTTTACTTTCAACAAACAAAGAAATTTTCATTCTTTGCAACTACAACGGAAGAGCATTTTCTGTGGGGTTTTATAATTAATAAATATGCGAAAAATATTAAAATAGTCAAACGAAACATTAAGTACCCTTTACAGCTTTCAATATTTTATGCTACATTTTATCTTTTCTTATCAGTACAATGGATATCCTACCATAAAGAACAGTAAGAAAAAATATTGCATGTGAAAGTAGGAAATTTAAACAATGGTACTTTAAAATATCAACTTGAATCTTAATTAGAAGCTTTCAATCAAACTTTGATCAGTGGCAAGGGAATTAAATTTAATAACCAAGCGAAATGTTGCCAGTAGTAATAGAAATTCCTTGAAAGGGTTGCTTATAAATAAAATAAATAAAATTCAATATGACTCTGAATATACGTTTAAATTTTCACAGTTTTCCACAATATAAATTTGAAATTTTTTATATGAATACATAGTTTCATATACAGATATTATTTCGGTTAAAAATTTAGACAAATGTTATAATTAGATTTTTTATAATTTGTTTCTTGATATAATTTGTTTCTTGATTTTATATTTGAGCCAATATTTTTGTAAATTACTTTGTATAGCTTATGTTGCACTATTGGAGAATTTGTATTTTGCTTTTGAATTACGTTACACGTTGGCAACTAAAACCACATATTAATATTAATAATATTATTATTACATTATTTTCCTTCCTGATTTCACCTGGTTGCTTTACATGTGAAACAGAAAGAAAAACACTGCTAAAAATATAGTATTTATTATAAAATATTATCTATAAAACGTCAACTGAGTAAAATTCGGAAATTTAACTTAAAAACTTCACAAATGATTTTAACATGGAGCAAATTTAGAGAATCACACTTTCAATGCAAATTTCTCAAAACTTATTCTTTTTGTATGGTACTTTTGGTATCAAAATGCATGTTCATGTAGTTTGGCAGCAACATTCTGTAATTTAAATGGGTACAAAATATTAATTTTTTGTTCTACTCTAATGACTTTACTAAAAATCCCAGGAGTGAACTTTTGATTATTTACCATTCCAGCGTCTCCGATATTTTAAATCCTTTTCAAACATCAGGTTCTTCATACTACACAAACTGCGCACTAAGCAGTACCTATGATAAAAAGAAGAAAAGTGCAACGGAATAAATATTTGGCTGACAAGATCAAACATTTCATTTTATGCAAATTAATTGAACTATTTTCACTATAATACACATGCTTCCGCACAGTATAGAGTAAGAAGAAAGCTTTTAGTTTTGTCTATGCTACGAAATATAAGACTATAATTCAAAAGAAGGGAGCAAGCATACCATATTTGCTCAACAAGAGTTTGAAGAAAATCATGCTGTATATGGTATGTGGTGCGTATTTTAAACACAAATTCATTATTTTTAGATTCTTCTCTCGTTTAAAAAAGTAATCGTTATGTTGCATGAAGCCCATTAGAAGGATAACTTAAAAAGTGTTAAATTTAATGCCGATTTTTCAGTATTGGTTTCCTTCAAATTAAACTGTGGGGAAAAATGATCATGCCACGATACACGATTAAAATGCCACGATACACGATTAAAATGCCACGATACACGACTAAAATGCCACGATACACGATTAAAGTGCCACGATACACGATTAAAATGCCACGATACACAATTAAAATGCCACGATACACGATTAAACGTACTATGCCACGATACACGATTAAACGTACTATGCCACGATACACGATTAAATATTTTTATTTGAAGTGGAGCAGTACACTTAAAATAAAGAAGTTTATTTACATTTTGATTTGAAAACTATAAAACTGAAGTTAACCTGACAATTATTGCTAAAATAAATTCTCATAAATAAAAATTTGTTAATTTACATTTCTAAAACATTTTTGGAAAGAATCTTGTTCTAACGTTTATTACAGATATTATAAGTGGCATTATCAATCAAATTTCACTTCGGGTGAAGTAAGAAATACTTTTTAGTAAACTCATTCTGTTGCTATGATGAAAGGTCTTTTTCACGTAAGAGAAATGAATATTTCCTAAAGCCATTAATGGAATATGTTACTAATATTTTGAATCCTTCCAAACAATTGCATTTCAAATTAAAAAACATGTTTATTTTAACGTCAAAACTGTGCTTCAAAAAGGGTTAAATGGATTCCTTGTCCCCTGGTCTTTGTATCTTTGATACACTGTTTTCACAATTTTTTGGTCGCACTGGACTTCAAAGGGCCAGAATTTTCTTATCTTAATATTAACAAAAACAATGCTATTGTAAATGAGTAAGAGTTCATTCTCGCATGTTAGCTGATAAGAGATGAAAGTGTAACTTCTGTATCCCGTCTTCTTAAATTTCCACATTGAAAATCTTCCCTTTGGGTTAGACATATTGCACTCATAAAGAATTATGAGCAAAGTTCATGAAATTCTTTTTAACATTACCATATATTAGGCTTTCAATGGAAACGAAGTGATAATTGCAAGCTGAAGTAAAAGAAAAGAAAGCATTTGTTATGCTTGTAATCATGAAGTGAAAGATCGACTAAGTAAAGAAAGGGTAGTTTTTCTGCTGGCTAGAAACGTAATTTTTGAAATTTGAATGAATCAATGAAAAAAGCATTTTTATAATTTTTTGGGTGCTTAACTTTAACATGTCGAAAGTGCCAAGTGAAATACTTAAGAGAAGGATTAATTGTTAAAAGATTTTAATGTTTTTGGTAACTGAAGCCAGAGGGAAAACTACATTTAAACTGGGTACTTCAAAGACCTCATTGTGAAATTTATTTAAACAAAGAATTATAATTAACGAAGAACTAACAAAAATACAAATACTCAAAGAAGCGAAAAAAAAAAAAAAAAAAAAAAAAAAAAAAAAAGAAAATCGAGATACTTTGACTATTTTTCTAGAATGGTTTCAAGTAATGAAACTAAAAAGTGTGTTTATATATGGAACATTGTTCACTAATTCGCTAAATGCTAAGAGAGAATTTTATATTCACTGAAGGATAGCTCACAAGTTGGTAGAAATTGAAATCTAGTGTTGTTCATCAGAAATTGCATGGAGAGAGTGAAGAGGCTGATAATCATGCAGCTGATAGCTGGATAAAAGACGTTTTACCTGGGATGTTAAGTGAATACTTCTCACACGAAATCCATAACACAGATGGAACTGAAATATGTTACAGAACATTACAGAACACTCATTAACAATTAAAAGCGAAACAGCAGCTGGTTTAAGAAACTGGTGAGATATGCTACCGTGTTATTAACGTGCAATTTGGATGCAACAATTAAGAAAACAGCACTGGCTGTTTGCAAAAGCAGAAAAACCTCGATGTTTAAAAGCAGCCAAGAATTTACCTTCAGCTTTACCACAGCAATAAGAATCCATGCATGCCAAGTTATAATTTTTCTGATTTTCTTCTGAAATGGGGCAGAGAATAGAAAAAGGAAACAAATAACTTTACTTAATTAGATAACCATGTATCACTCACACCTCTTATCTCCTCCTGAAAAATATTAGTGTCACTTCCTGCAAATACAACTTCCTGCAAATTCAATCTTATAGATCGGAGGCATTTTAAAAGCTTTCAAATTCCATTAAAGATGTCGTTTCAGAATTGATGTTCACAAATTGATAAAGAGAATCGAAGTTTTTAAAAATGCAAGCCCTTCGAAGTAGATTCGTAAATCGATTGTTTTGCTAGAGTAGATGCATATTATAGTCAATGCAGGGGATTAATAACTTAAAATCAGTTAAAAACTGTTTCCGAAAATATTTAAAGTAGAAAATGCATTAGAGGAATTGCAAGGTATAGCTAATGTTCGAGACATCAGTGAGAGGAGTTATGAAGATTCATTTTTATAATATGTGTCATTCGCAAAACTATTAAGACAACATGTGTAAAAACTGACTAAAATTATTAAAAGAATGTAAAAACTAACAGCGAAAGTGATGCAGAAAAAATGATGATATGGCAGCATCAGTCGAATTAAGAAAAGCGAAGAAAAACTCTCAAACTGAAAAGTGCTGATCGAAAAAGCTGCCACCAGTTTCGCAACATTCAGAATACAATTTTTGAAAAGCTATTATTGAACAACAAAAATCAAACACAAATAAGATAGTTGTTTGTAAGAGATTTAATTTGATAAAGAACGTAATCACAAAAATATTTTTATAAAAATTGTTTTTTTTTTAAATTTCGAAATTGATTAAATAACTAAATTTTTAACATTAATATTTAATTATTATTCAAGCATTAATTGTTGAATTTGTTGATGGTTATTACTTTACTTTAAAATTTAAAATTGATATCCCGATTTGCGATACACAAATCGCAGTCTATTAAACTCAGCCGCTTAATAAACTCAAATATATTTGGAATGAAGTGATTTTAATAAGGGACTGGTACTGTACTATTAACTGTACAGAAATAAATAATATTAAAATATATATAATATAAAGAGTATTTAATAATAAAGATTTGCGTTCCAACTTCGAAGCAAAGGAAATTCAACCAAATCACAAAGCAGACAGCAATAAAGGGGTTAAAGTTATTTATTATATCATGAGATAATAAAATATTTCACTGGTGGAATTTTTTCAATTCACGTTTTGTACTATTTAACTGGCTTACTTTGAACCTGAAGGACATTTAATTATTATTTTAACTCCTTGGACAAGCAGCTGTCCAATGTAACTTGCACTTAAATTTCCATCAGCGATGAGAAACGTTATCCCATCTTGCCGACTAATCCCATCTAAAACTACAGAAAACTGCGCGTACTGTTTTATTTATACAACTTGCTATATTTGCCGACGCATTTTTTAGATTCAACAAATTTGGTAATATGAAATATTTATGATAAAGCATTTTGTCGTCTAATTTAGTTTGATAAATTGTGTCTCGAAGATTTATACCTCCTCCTTCAACGATTTTTCATCCTAAGAATTCCTAACTGACATTTCTTAGCAGAAGTAGAAAGGTTTATTGTCCTTTTATGAAAAAATCAGAACTTGCAGGAATAGAGCAATACATTAAGGTCATCAATACATAATTTATGATCTTTTCCTGGGCAGTGTTTTGAAAGAGCGATGTTAGTCATATTTCTGACTTTTTCCATTTCATCTGCTATACTAAAATTAATCCCCTTGTGGACTATCATGCCATGGATATGTTCACTAGTACATTTCAGTAAAACATATAACAAAGGTAAATCTTTATACAAGCCGTCTATGAAAATATTTCCAGTTAGTTTATTGTTTGTGTACTTTATCAAAAGTCTTTTAGAAAAAAGGAAAGGGTACTACGTGTTATCGCAACCAACTTAGTAGAAGTCTCCAAATTTTCAGAAAGCGCAAATTCTGGCAACCATGCTCATAACCGTTCTTCAGGCAACCATGCTCATAAAAATCCTACAGTCAAGCAACCTCGCCAATATCCGTATGCGTTCCAACGGTTTTTATAAGCATATCGTGAAATGTTTTACCTTGAACTTAATTTTAAAATGTGCGCTGGTGAAATTCGCCAGAAATGGAAAAAAAAAAAAAAAAAAAAAAAAAAAACTGTGGCAAAAGTTTTGCATGAATGGCAAATTTTGCAGGAAAATCTCTGAATGGAACAACGAAAAGATGCGTTTGGTAAATAGACGGAGCTGCCGAGGTTTGCCCGATGCCGAATCTCTGCAGTTCTCTGATGACACAATAAAAACTGCAGGAAGATTTGGTTAAGAATGCAAGTTTCATTTTTTTTAAAATACCCCCCGTAATCTTTATTTAATAATTAAATTTGTGCCGCTCAGACGCGAAAGGGGTTAGTTACTATGACTGCTATACCGAAGGGTCCGAGCTCGAATCCAGGAGAAGACATGGATGTAAATTGTCTGTCACTTCATAGCAGGCAACGGAAATCTATCTATTAAGTGCCTCCGTAATAGTGACTACGGCTTCTGGCAGCAGTAGTGGCCAGTGCCTATAATGGCTAGTGCCGTCATTGGAAAAAAACTGTATTTTAAATTGCTTAAGTATGTTTTCTTTTCTTACTTTGATAATGTATGCTGATTTACCATAAACATCCATCGTTTAACCTATAAAAAATCGTTCAATTGCGCCAATATC